ATTTAATTTAGAAGTTTAAAGCAAATGCATTGGTCCACAAGAAATGTGAACATTGAACACATGTATAATCATCTGCTTTCCTCGGATTTGCGTCTTACTGTGCTGAGGTAACTTTTCCAAAACTACTCCTCTGCTTTGTTCAATTTTAAGGGGAGAGTCCTCTTATTTCAGTAAGACTAGCTTCATTAAAGTCTTCTGAGCTGTTAAGTACTTGTCTTTCTACTAGCTTGGCGTTTTCCTCACAAGTACGCAACTCTGGTGCATCGCAGTTGCCCTGCCTGGTCTTGTCAAGACTGGGTATCTGGTAAGGACTAGACTTGCTTGACCATGCTGTAAACCATAGTAACCCACGTTACAGATCAGCATGAAGCACAATGATCAGTATTTCTGAATGAACTATGTTACAGAATAAATAGAAAGATGTTATGAGATGGTATCGATTAACCAGGAGCAAACACGCTGGTTTGCTTTGGTGTGCCCAGTTAAACTCCTCTAGCCAGAGGAGATCTTGGGTAGAGATGTTATTAAAGAGTTTATTGGGATGCGGAGAAGAGGGGCCGGCCTCTATGAAAGATATGGACTGTATATTTATGATGTTAACTGTGTAATTTGATCTGTCCAAGTTTCATTTGTGTCAGTGAGGAGATCCTGTGATCCGTCAGAGACCCTTCGAGCTGTGACATGTTTGTTCTGTTGCATAATCTCCAGAGAGGATGGAAGATGACCGCTGCACGCTTATGGTGTGGGCCTGGGAGGGCTGGAGATGGCTTTGTAGTGCCATTTCTCAGGTGATGGGGCACACAGTAAGTCACTGAAATACTCTGTTCTTCGCCCTTCTAATTTTACAACCAGACTTACAATACTTGTTTTGTTCAACCAAAGCGTGGCAATGCTGAACTTACTAGTTTAAAGTATACTTCAGAATCTTTTGATGGAAGAAGTTGTTAGACCTGGGTCATTGCACTGTACTGAATGTATTAGAAATGGGCATTTACTGTGCTTTTCTGGCGAGGCAAAAAATGATAGCCAAGTGTTGCATAAGTTAGTTCATTCTGATAAATCAGAGTCCCTTTGATCATTTTTACCTGGGGTAATTTATAGCTCTAAGGACTGCAGTAGTTCAGTAGATGATAATAAAACATAGAAATTCTGCTCCTTTTATTTAAGAACTTTCTTTTCTTCTGTCAGATGCGTAACTATTCCAGTAGTAGCTCATAACTGCAATTGGGAAGAGTAGTATATCCCTTTTGAAGTCATCAAGTTTCATGGCTTCTGTCTCATCCTCTGCCTATAAGGCTTTTTTGCCTTTGTACTCTTTACAGAGAGGGACAAATAGAGATCTATAAAGAACATAAAGGCAAAAATTGTTATTCCATTCAGCCTTCCAGATCATAGTTCTCAAGAGCTTTATAAAAGCAGTCAAGCATCATTCCTGTCCCTTGCCTTCCCCAAATTTAGAACAGCATAAAGGGGTGAGTAACTGTCCAAGCCCGCTGGTTCCACTGTTGATTCATTTTCTGACTTACAGGCACACACATGAGATGTAAAATGCCTAGCATTAGCGATCAGACATCTCTGGCTGTGGCAGTGTGACTGTTTATGCCATGTGAACTGTTGCTGCTGCTTGGTGCTTAGCTAATGGGAAGCTGTGACAATGTTTGGGTACAGGAGGGGTCTTGGGTTTGGGGGTGAGTGGTGAGAACTGTGTATGATTCCGTCTCCCCGTTCCTTTTTGTCTTATGAAGGTGTGAACGTGTGTGCTATGAGCTACGAAATGAGGCAGCTTTGAGTGGAAGACCGGATGTGTAAACCATGAAGGGTTAATGGCTGCACTGGTGGAGGAGGACTGCATGCTTGGGAGTGGGTTGGTGGCAATGTCAGACAGAGGAAGGAAAGCAGTTCACAAGGAGGCCCTGCTGTTAGATGGGAACAGAGGCAGGATGCTGATTTGGGGCTTGCACAGAAACTTGGCTTTACCACTGTGATTCGACAGCCTTTCAGAGCAGCTTTGCAGAAAGCCCATGCTGTTACTCCTTTTGGATCGCTGTGCTGCTGTTGGCAATATACCCTCCCCTCTCCAGCACAATACCCTGAGCCCATGGACAGAAACCTTCTTTTTCTAACAGGGTTCTGTGTATCACTTACGAAGATTCCGCAAATCGAGGTCTGGGATTTGCTGTAGCAATACCTTGTTTTGAAAATGTTGCCCTTCATTGCTGCAAACACAGGCTGGCTGAATGTCCTGAGAGAGAGAAATCTTCGAGAAAGGTTCAAGCCCCTTAAGGCTGGTTGAGGGAATTACGGGGGAGGAACTGAAATGTTCAAGCCAGAATCTGTCCTGGAATTTCAAATAGTACAGGTGTGACAGTTGGTGTAGGAAAAGCATCTTCTTCAAGAAGTTACGCTGTGCTGCACGGCAGTACAAAATTCGACGTTAGAGCACCCCCTCTTGAGGTACAGCAGTAACGTCTCGGAGACTGCTCGAACGACTGCGTATTTAGACATACAGGGTGCTCCAGGCTTTGCTGCAAGCCTGCTGCAAAGCAACACTATTTTTAGTACCCTAGCACTGCTATTTTCAGTACCCTGATGCAGTAGCAATCTGCTGAAATGCACTGGAACGTGATGTACCTATTTATACATAAATAGGAGATGCTCCCCCTGCGGCTTTGAGGGCCTTTTCAGTCAGATCCTGAAACAGCTTCATTTTGACTTTGTGGACGTGCCTGGTTCATTGCCTGGTGCCTCAGACCAGCACCAGGGGACTGAGGCTGATGTGTGTTGGAGGCTTGCATTTGATTATGTGCAGCTAATTAGCTGATGAAATGTATTTGAACTGTTTCTTGGGGGGGGGTGGGGGGGTGGGGTGGGGAGGAGGTAATTTAAAGAGCTGGGGAGCAGGAAGATGCTTTTGTCTAATCTAAACTAAGATGAAATGAAGTCAGTCTGAACTTTGTAGTCCCTACTCAGTCTATGACTGCAGTGCGAGCTTTCCCCGCGTGGAACAGAGGTGGGCACTGGAAGGCTGGATTCTGCTGATGCAGCATTAGGCAGGGCATTGCGGTGCCAGTATGCAGTACTGGGCCTCCCAGGCAGCATGGCTGGTTCCAGGCCCAAGACGTACTGGGACTGCTGGAATGACAGACAATGCAAGTGTAGGGTATAAGGAAAAATAAACAGCACCTCTTCCATTTTGTTCCTAGGGCTTGGAGCTCTGTCAAGTCAACTTGTTCTCTGCATCCAAACCCTCCCTTTTGTTCCTTGAAGCTTTCCAATAACCAACCAGTATTAAAAAAAAACAAAACCAAAAACAAAAAATCAAAACACAACTGTCCTTAGAAGTTGAAAAAGCAGTATTCTGTCACACTTGTAACTGGTTCTCTAGTGCTGCTTCTTCATGTGCTAGGGTCAGCACACCTTTTCATCAGATGGAGAACAAAAACTGAGTCACGGTATTGCAGACAAAATAGATTGATTATTTGCCAATAAAATATTTGATGGACACAAGATTTAAAATCACTGCAACCTTGCAACTTCAAATACACACATGTGGAAAGAGAGGGGAGAAATCCTGATGCTCAAAGAAATGTAAGAGTAAGAAACAATCTTACAGCAAATGGCATCAGTTGTATAATGGGTTTGTGAGTACACACATAATCCTTTCTGGAACTGCAGACTCATCGATGAGTCCAATGGGGATATGCCTTATACATAGTGAATATATATGTAGAGAGAGTATATATATAGTATACTGCCATAGCTTCACTTTTCTTATTTATGTTTTGAGAAATCCCAAGGGTCTTCTGACCAAGGTTGAATGAACACTGAAATAGGGTGAATAGAATGATGCAGTAGCACTGGCAGGACATTGGTCCCAACCAGCGTAACCAGAGCTAACAGATTAGAACTGCAGTGGAACTGTGTGCTATTGCTTTTTAGCTATGAGGTGCTAACCCATGCTACAATACAGCCTGTGCCTAGACAAATGGCTCATCTGTGTATGCAGTATGGGCACTGGCAAGTCCAACTGGTTTGACACAGAATGACACAGGTAGCCTCCTTTCCATGAAGTGCTTTGTTATTTTCCAATTTTTGTAGCAGTAACTGGGGTTGACTCAGACTGATGGGATGCCCCTGTGCTCTTTGCTTTCAGGAGGTCTCTGCTCCAGTGCAGGTGCCATTGTGCCATAAAGGTGGCTTTTAAGGTTGCCAAAGTACCCCCCAAAGGCTTAGGTTTTTAGGGGATTTGTAGATATCTTTTAGTTATCATTATTCTATTTGGTAGTTAATACACAGTGAAAAAAACACCTCTGGAATATTGTGGTTGCTGCAATCTCCTGTTCCAGGCTGAGTAAGCTGTTAATCTTGTCTCTGAAACGTGTCCATACTAGACTGAAGTATGCACGAAAAGACATCTACTCTGGATACCAGAAAAAAATAGTTAAGTACTAACTTTGCTTTGTACATGTTTTTAGAGGACATATTTGAGATTGAATATTACATTTCTTTCTCTCTAAAGCACTGTATCCCTGCAGTATAATACCCCATGCTATAAATCACTATGCTTTTTGTGCCTCCAGGCCTACAGTTAAGTGTCTAAGCTTTTACAATGTCTAAATTCTCACTAATGCTAACCGTGGTCATCTAGAGCTATGTTGACTGGGAAAAGAAAAGAATACATTAAAAAATGCCTTGGCTTTTATGGTCCTGAGCCTTAATATTTACAATTTCACTCTTAACGTATCATATACCGAAGCTAAGAATACTGAAGCTAAGAACACTACTGAAACCACTAGAGCAGTACTGTAGCACATGAAGTATCTCACACATCTATTAGCAGAGGTAGGCTTCTGCCGTGATTACACATCTGTACACGCACACACTTCTTTTAAACTGCCTGATGAGGTCAAGCAGTTGGACTAGATGATCATTGTAGGTCCCGTCCAACTGAACTAAACATCCCCATAAAAGAACCAACCAAAAAAAAAAAAACCCACAAAAACCTAGTTGCCCCAATCTGAAGACCTGAGCACTATGTGTCTCCTAGTCCTGTGTTCCTGAGTAGGTACATTATTCCACCAAAGCCTCTGTTTTGGCTGGATAAAAACTGTTTAGCACGTGTGCTCTTCTATTTCTCTCCACATAGAAGGTTCTTTGCTCTCGAAGGCTATATCATGGTGGGATGATTCATATCTAATCTCCATACCAGGATTTTTCATGTATGTCTCATTCTCCCAAATGTACAATTTACAGCCATTATACAAATACTGTGTGTGGTATTGCTCTAATGAGATCAATTAAGAATTACATATACTGTGAGCTTTGTAACTGCAAGTGGAACACATCCATCCCTTCTATTTGAGGGAACTAGGTCCATGTGCACTTCTAGGGAAATTCTCCTGGCCTGATAAATGGATTTCCTTTACCAAGGTGTCAGGCAATGGCTAATACCAGGGAGGCAATACTCCACCAGGTGAGAAGCCCAGTCTTTTCAGTTTCATGCATGAAGGCTGCTTCATATACTGGAACTGCTCACAAGCCATTGGTTTGATTCTGCTTACCTACTTTATATGTAACATAATAATATGCACTGGTTTAGTAGGTGCAGAGTAAGAAAAAAATTAATTCAGTGTTCACAGGGGTAAGTTACTGATGGTACCAGCTGCACCAGGAAAATAACTTGCTCTGACCAGAAATGAAAGAAATGTTATAGGTAAGGAGCATGGGTATTTCTTACATTTGGGAAATTAGGCTCTGTTCACAGGACTACTTGATAATGACTGCATATCATTTGACGACTTCATTGTCCACAACAGCTTTTCATTTCAGCCCCTCTACTGGATATTGCAAGTACCGACAGCTCCGCTAATAGCAGGATCATTTGTGTTCTCCTAAATTCAGTCACCTGAATAAAGTTAAAAAAGAAGAAAGATATTTAAAACACTGCTCAAACCTTTGCAGTGGTCTGGGCAGTGCTTCTGTTACCCCTTCTTTCTATGAGGAGAGGTAACAAGGGTGAGTGGTAACAGGTACATTGCTTTGTGGCAAAACAATGCATTTTAAGTGCTGAGAAAAAACAATGCGAAACCCACAGTGAAATATGGGTTGGTTCCCACCAGTCCTAACAGACATAGACAGATATAAATAAAGGGAGAGTGAATATAAATAAGGAAAATGAATAAAACAGGTTTTGTCATGGGCCCTCACTAAATCAGTCAAGTGCCTAATATGCATGGAAGTACTTGTCTGCATGTGAATCGTCCTTCACTTTTAATGAGAGAAATTTAAAAGATTTCTGTCTAGAAAGCCTCTGGTCCTTAGAGTACAGTTGATCAATTTCTCCACAAAATAATTTTAATAAAATGCTCCATAAACTAGAAATGACAACAATAAACTGGGTCTTCTACAATAGCTGCAAACCATTAATGCCTACAGAGACCATGAGTGAGAAGCTGTTGTAAGCTGAAAAACCAGTTCAGGCGCCTTGCATCACGGAGATACATGATGGAGTCACATAGACAGCATATCAAGGAAGACCCTTCTACCCCTATATTCCAATGACTTCTCCTCTATGCAAGCTTTGGAGGGACAACTAACTGAAGTATCTATTCAGCTCTTGTTCAACAGATATTGTCACTGCATGCAGTGTGAAAGTGAATCTGCAGCTACATCCCAGAACAGAACATGAGGGGATTTCTGTGTCTGTGTAGATAAATGTAGGAAGAAATAGCCATAATTTAATGCAAGTAAAAACTCCAATATTACTAATAATACTTATTATCATCTTCATGTATGCAGTGCTATTCATCTACAATAAAGGTGTAAAACACTTAACAGTGCTTTACATAGATGGATAAGCATCATTTTCTATTCCTAAATTCAAGGCTTTTCACTCTTTTTTTTTGGCCAGCTTTGACCAACGGGAGAGCCTCTTTGGAGTGGTAGACACTTTTGCTGGAATTTTTACTGAAGAACTTACAAGATCTGACAATCAGGTCTTAGACTGGTCACAGTGACTAGAGAGCTCTCCTGATGACTAGAACAACACTGTGCTTAGAGTGGAAGCCTTGAAATGGCTTCCTGAGTGCCCTGGGACTAAGCACCTACCAAGAGTTTTTCATACAGTTCCCTGAAAGTTTTGGCTATGTAAAGACAGTAGGACTTTCCACAGAATGGCTGTGGTGAAGTAGCTAATCTAATTATAGAACCAATCTGTTTCACAAAGGAAGCTTATTGAAGTTGAGACTAACTATTGTCACCAGCTCACTGTCCTATATGGTCCTAATGGCTTCATTCATGCATCAGAGTTTTGGAACTTAATTTATCATATGGGAAATTATGAATACGCTTCAGTTTGAATTGACTTGTTCCATCAAAGTTGGTCCAGATGGCAAAAATACTACCTGGCTTTGTTTGAGGTAGTCCTGGGGAGCAAATAAAACCTTATGCTCAGTTTGTGCTGGCTTACGGCTTAGTTCCATTTCCAGATGAGGATGAGAAGCTCTTGCAGGCAGCTTCACTGTCAGATTCATCAGGGCTTTCTGGCTGAATTCCATGCTGGTGTAGTCACCCAAGAGTGGTACTGTAATGGAAATGATTCCTTCTTCTTCACTCGTAACCACGTCTTCAGGGATTTCTTCATGTCTTAGGCTTATGTCTGTGTTATTCCTTGGTTCTTTTGACTGGCAAGCGTCATAATTGCTGTCTTCTCTACCATCTGTAAAGATGTCTAGCTTCAAGGGAGCCTTTGACTCATGCTCTATGACATAAAGGCTGGTGGTATCATTGTCTGACAGGGCCTGAAGCAGTGACCTTGAAACAGATTTCCAATTAGTCTGCAAGAAAAAGCAAGGAAAAAGAGTAATTTTAGTATCATACTTTTGCAAAGTGCAACTGGCAATTTACTGAAATAATTAACAAAATAACAAAGCCAGGAGACAGGCAGCCTGGTCCTGCCTGTGAATGCTAACCCATTTTATTTAAATCTTCATTGGTTTTAGAAACATGAATGAAAATATATATTTCCTTAATTCAGAGGACCATTGTCTCCTCTCCCATAGTATTTAAACAAAGTTTTTCTTGCTTTTATGTGTGGTTGGGTCAAAATGTAGTGGTGGTAAATTGTAGTGGTGATAAAATGTAGTCGTGATAAAATGTAGGCTTCATGATGTGCTATTCTGAGACCTAAAACTTTGAAAAAGTTTAACAAATGTGCTACTATAAAAAGGCAGCAGCTTGAATTGAACAGCAGCCAAACAACCTTTAGCTATCAGCTGCTGCAAGCAGTTTGTTATTCATCTTAATTGCCATGTTGTGATCCAAGTATACCATGGGTTACAAGTTTTTGCAAATTCTGGGTGATTAAATGGAGAACAGGTTGTAACACCAAGCATCCTTCTTTTCCACTTAGATTGTTCTGCTGGGCTGGCCAATTTCGCCATATTTGGCTCTTTTGCAAGAAATAAGTAAGTATTGTTTTTTCATTTTCTTTCTTCTTTGAATTTGTGTTCTGACTTGGAAATGAGTATGATGTTCTTTGAAATCTCATCAATCCTGCATAAAATACCTCTATTTTTCTATTGTAATGGGAGGAGTAGGCAGCTCTGCATGGTCAGCTTTTGCCTTGTTTTGAGTAAAGACCTGTGATACATGTACCTCCAGTATCATATTTATTATGAACAGCAGCCCAAACTCTGCACCTACCAAATCTAAAATAAGCTCTAGGTGAGCTTCTCTCTGAAAGAGGCACTAATAGGTGAAGAAGAAGCATCATCTTTGAAGAATCTTGTCTAAATGTGAAGAACAGGACACTGATGGGGTGGCCGGCTGGCCATTTTAGTTTCCATAGTTTATTTTCCTGACCTCTGTGTGCTGACTGAATTCAGAGTGTCTCCAGTTCCTCCTGCTGCTTCATACCATGGGATGAACCTTAGGTTGCAATAAAGAATGCTCTGTCTGAATTTAAAGTACAAATTCTCTTGCCACCTATCTGTGGACTATATATATGTTTCTGTCAAAAGCTGCTACATTGCTCAACTAACTTGATGGGGTTCAGTCTTGAAACATCCTACAAAAAGAATAAATATACAGAATACAGTAAGATTTACTCCCTGCTTCCATTTTACAATGCTCATTTGGGGAATACCTTTCTCCACATTTCATGAACTGTTCATAATCCCAGATTACTTCTAGGCAGTATATCTGGTAACTGCTTTATTGTGTTGCGTCCTCACACACATCTTTTTCTGCTTTCCCCAAACCCCTTGTCTGATATCTGTTATTTCTGTTTCTGCCATGCTATCAACATTGCAGTATTGCTCTACCAGACTCAGCTAATACAGGCTTAATTTCCTTTTACAGTTGCTTCGCCTCTGCAGAAACAGTTAAATGCATTTTAAATAGGTATATTTACCTTTTAAAATATTTACATCAATGTGGTATTCTGGTTCATAAAACCTGTTTGTCTCAGCCTCAATGTATTCCACCTGCACCTTTTCACAATGACAAATTACTCTTTGAACCTGTTAGGTTATTTTGGCTGATAGTTCTTACTCCTTTCTTGCTGAATTTCTACTCTACTGCACCTAAGCTTATTATTTCATCAAAACAGCTTCAGGTCTTGCGCTTTCTTTAAGGCAGAAATTCTCTAAATGCTGAATATACTAGATTCCTTTTTTGCCTTTGAGGAGCCTCACTTCAAGCACATATTGAATCTCCAGACCTCCCACTTTCTAAATGGATGGTAGAGAAGCAGCAAGAGGATTAGGTGGAGTTATTTTTACTGGAGTGGTCAGTGAGGGACAGCTGAACCCCAGCACTGAGTACTGGAAGTTGCCTGGTGTTCGTAAGCAGATCAATTTCTTTAGCTGAACAAAACAGTGAAACGGCAATCTTCTAACAGCATCACTTTTGAACATCTGACTTTGTACAGCTGTACATTTGTACATCTGATCCTCCTTTGTTCAGCATTATCTGGCTCTGGCAACATTGCTATCTGATACTACCTCTGAGCTCATCAATTCTTTATCTACATTTAGGTGGAAGAAAGGAAGAAAGCAAGCAATGAACTCCTGATCTGGAATATGAAAGTTCATACTTGCTCTGTTGAAGGAAGAAATTATGATGTTCAGCAAAACCTTTCATTATCAGCAGCCTTTCAGGGTCTTCTGAAATTTTGTTGCTGATGATTTCATTCTGTCCTAGATTTGGACAGCATCTGGCTTGTAGATACCTTCCAGCTTCTGCCTCATCTTTGGCTAAATAGAAGCCCACTTTGTTAAAGCTCACAAGTTGTCTTGGGAAACTAGATCTAGGAGTGCCAAATTAAGTTCAGGTCTGCCAGAAAAATCAAAAAGGAAAGCAGTACAAGTTCCTGCTCCAAAAACATAAGGGTTGGTGGTGTGAGAATTGGGAGATAAGCGGAGGTGTCCTAGAAGGACTTTAGTATCAGGTGTCAGCAAAACTGGAGCAGAAAATTGTTTAAGAAGAGGGAGGTAAGGAGAGGAAGATGCAAGTAACTCCGCTAATAGGCAAAAGTGAATAACACAGTCTCCAGCAGTCTCCTTCTAACAGCTGATTTCCAGGCACTTCTTCAGTCCTGAAATTTTGGTATCCTCACCAAAGCATATAGGAAAGCCATGGGCAAGATTTGAACATGCTGCTGA